ATGGGCCACAGACCTGCTGTCTCGGCCAGTGCTGGGACCTGGGTCTCGCATGTCTTTGAGGGTCTCCGAAGGCTCTTCGCCTTGCATCCAACATTTAGGCCACTCTGGGCCCATCACACTTCAGGGACACTCTCCCCTTTGGTGTCCCTGAACCCTCTCTTTAGTAGGGAGCTGAATTCCTGTGGCTTTTCCAAGCACGACATGTCCATAAGCTCCTTATTGTTTTTGCATATTGCTGGCTGCCATTGTCTCCTCAGCCAGGAAGCGCCGGTGAGGTTTATTTTGACAAGTCTGGAGTTTGGTATTTATAAGCGTAATCCAAGTGAAATATGACTAAATGTTTTCTAGTCAATTTTTACCAACAGATTTTTCCATAAGTGGAAATGGAAAAATTTAATTTGATTATATATACATCCTCACACGTAGCTCTGGGATGCGCGTGAGCTGCTTATTTTTAGCTTCACATACATTCTTGACATTAAAATCTCCTTGGCAAAATCCTCCTTCCAGAATTATTCTGAGCTCAACGTGTTTTTTTTTTGTTGGCCTACCGCTAACGGAATCACTAAAATATGCAGCATAATTTAATAGTACTCCATTCCTCATTATGGTGTGAACCTCGAGATTGCACCTCTAAGGTCACAGTGGCATTTTCCCCATAAACCTCCCTTGCAATTCCATGTGGCCTTAGGGAAAGTATCTCTTCAGAAAGAAATCAAACTCCTCAGTCACTATCTTTCTGAGAATTATTTTCTGAATCTGAAGAGCCTGAATAAATCTAGTTTTATGTCTACACAACGGTTTTGAAGGCTGGCTGCCTCCCTGTCTGTCCAGTCACCTAAACACGAGCTCCCCTAGAAGCTTGGAGTGGCTGAGAAGGACTTTTTGACATTTCACTTTAAATCAAGATGCGCCACAGAAGACTCATAGAATCGCTGCTAAAAGAGCTGGCTGCATAGGAGCCAATTAACAGAGCAAAATCTGTCGGGTGTCAGGATGGCAAGTCAGGAGGCCTGGGTTCTCCTGACAGAAGCTTTCAATTTCTGTCAAGTTCTGCTCTGCAAAAGACATTGCACGCCTACCTCATCCATCCATAGATTCTGAAAGATAAGAAGAGAGTCGAGCGAGGGGCTTTGTGCTCTTTAAAAACTGCGAAGGCGCTTTTGTAGTTGTAATGCTGTGAGTAAGATCTCCAGATTGCTGCAGGATAAGCTGCCATTGAAATGAAACTTGCTGTGCATTGGTGTGGATTCTGAAATCCTCATGTCCGTGTATTTGCTGAGCTTGGGAAACATAATTTAAGCATTAGGAAAGAACACTGGTAATTACTAGTCATATGACTTTGAACAAATCATTTAACGTTTCTGGGCATCAGTTGTCTCATCTGTAAGATGGAAACAGAATAAGGCTGGAGCAGAGGGTCATATGGTTTCTTTACATACATAGGTCCTGAGATTGAAATGGCTTACGTTATATTCAAAGAGTCTGAGCTTCTGGAATTCTTTCCCCAGAGGACCAACGACTCAGTGACTTGACACTGAGTCATTCGCTCTTTAGAGGTTGTAACTTCCCCCATTGTCCACTATGAAGTCAGAGAAATATCATTTTCCAATCGAGAAATACAGCTTGAGCTCTTGAAGAAAACGAGAAGCTTAGTACTGTGATGTCACTATTTGTAGCCTTGGATGCCGAGTGGGTTCAGAGAGTCAACAGGATGCCACATAAAATAAAGATGCTCACTTCCCACACCAAGATGTCAAAGATGCCTCTGGTTACATTATCACATAGCTTCAGGCACAGGTGGAAATTTAGGATAACAAAAGTAGGTGTGTTTAGTATATTTAGCTACGCTACAGAAAATAAGTGTTTCCACTTTACTGAACTAAATCAAATAAGAATGGTAAAAACGTCTCTGCTTTCCAGGCTTGTGTGAAACATAATTTAATTGAAGTTTAATTTCACTAACCAACATACCCCACCTTCCCACCCGCTACAGAAAGTGATAACACCTTTTTAATGGTTTTAATTTGTGATTAATCATGAGAAAAATAGTCCCCCTTTTAAACCAAACAAACGTGCAGTTTAAATTTTCTTTCCCACTTCATTTGGACGACTCTGTATACACATACGCAGAAATGACGTTGCCTCTTCCTTCCACACCCACGGCGAAAGGGGCCACAAGCTTGGGTCTGCTGAGGAGACAGGAAAACAAAAAAGATTTTTAGCAGCAAGTAAAGCGATTCTGCTCCTGTAGAATCATCTTAGGTGAGCCTCAGGCCCGCTGGCAACTACAGTTCCTTTATGGTCTTCTGAATGTACCTCATTTTACATGCGGATCTATTAGCCTTCCCTGAAGCTTTCAATTGCATTTGGCTGAAAGGAGATGGTCCTGACCACAGGGATGTCAACCTCCTTGCTTTCGGAAACACGAAAAACCCACGCGTCACTTCTCTGCGGTACTCATCATCCATAAGGGGTCTGGTCCGGTGAATGTTTTTAAGTGGCAGTTCCATGCTTATAGAATGTTAACGTGAAGGAAGGCTTGGGTCGCCCAGTCTCACGGCCTCTAGACTGCTCTGGGACTCCCTAAGAGGTTCCAAGGTGACTCAGTATGAATATTTACTCATATAACAACAGCATACGAGTCTAGAGTAAACCAAATGTTAATTGTTTAAAGGTCCTTGAATTACCTGGAATGAGAATAGAATATAAATTACCATTAAACTTTGATACGCCAAGAATGCATTGTTAAAATGACTAAAGTAATAGAAATAAAGAAGTCTATAACCTCCAAAATAAAAGAAGAGGAACACTGAACGATAAAACCACTCAAGCAGGCCAACAGGAGGCAAGCAACAGGAACATGGAACCCAAGGAGCTGGGACAATGTAGAATGCATATAGGAAGATGGTGTGTTCTTTTATACAAGTATATCAGTAACCATAATAAATGTAAGCAGATTAAATCCTCCAGTTAATAATGAAAAATTGTCAGTCTATGGCCACGCCACCCTGAACAAGCCCGATCCCGTCTGATCTCAGAAGCTAAGCAGGGTCGGGCCTAGTTAGTACTCGGATGGGAGACCACCTAGGAAGACGAGCGGCTATAGGCGTAAAAAATTTTAAAAATAAGGGATTATAAACTGACAAGATCCTCGCAATCTGTGAGGTCAACCAAGGGTTGCCTTGCCTAAAAAATGAAAAAGGAGAGAGAGAGACAGAGAGAGAGAGACAGAGAGAGAGAGAGAGAAAGAAGCTCTCTTACACTGCTCAGCAAATAGGATAATGATTGATATATATAGCCCGATGCCACTACCTTCAATATAAACCTACTCTGAGAACCAAAAAGAAAAAGGAAGGAAGGAAGGAAGGAAGGAAGGAAGTAAGGAAGGAAGGAAGGAAGGAAGAAAGAAAGAAAGAAAGAAAGAAAGAAAGAAAGAAAGAAAGAAAGAAAGAAAGAAAGAAAGAGAAAGAAAGAAAAGAAAGAAGGGAGGGAGGGAGGGAGGGAGGGAGGGAGGAAGGGAGGAAGGAAGGAAGGAAGGAAGGAAGAAAAATTGTCAGACTGGATTTTTAAAAAAATACCTATCTATCTGTTGTTTATAAAAACCACACCCAAAACACAAGGATACAGAAAGTTTGAAAATAAAAGAACGAACCAAGGCCTTCGATGGAAACAGCACCGACAGAAAGCTGATGAGACAAGGGTAACAACAGCTACACAAAGAGCACGAGCAGCGTTAAACAGGGTCACTTCCAACGATAAATGTTTCAGTTCAATATGATGACATAATAATTCTCAATTTCTATGCATTTAATAACGTGTCCTCAAAATATATACTTTAAAAAGTCAAAACTATAAAACAAGTAGACAAATCCACAGACATAGGAGGAAATTTCATCACACTTAATTCCAGTAATTTAAGCAGATAAAAATTAGGAATGATCTGGATACTTTAAACAAAATGAAAACCTTAGGTAAAGCACTTTATCCTATTACCCCAGAT